CTAGCATGACAGCAAAGTAAAACAAAGTACATTAAACCAGACAAAACATCAAATGGAAGAGGGGTAAAACGATCATGTCACCAGGTTAGGGATAGACTAACATAAAGTTCTTTTTGCTGACACAGGGGGGCTTCCATCGGCTGATAACAATCGAGCCATTGCTTGACGCCTGCTGATGACGTAACAACAGGTCGACCAAAGCACAGCGTTTCGGACTGTCTACAAGTACTGAGTCGCAAGATTGCTAAGGTTTGCTGAAGCGATTGCTATTAGTCGAGGGAAGCCCCTCATTTTCGATGTTCTATCGAATGGCTAACTACAGCATATTTTATAGTAAGTCGCATAGCTGGCGAGAGGAGACACAGGAAAGAATGGAGAACTTCGAGTGAAATATTGTACTTGTGGCAATTGACTTTTTCTTACAGGGCACACCTTTGGGTTTTTCACAGTCAAGTGCGGACCGCAAGAGTGTAGCGTGTTGGAGCATGGTTACCGGTGACTCCGTAGCGGATGTAGCTGCAACCTAGGGGTCCATGCATCCCCTTTAGTTGCCTAGACCTCCTTCATAGACGGATTCAGTAGTAGATCTCGTCCGCGCATTCAGGAATGGCTGTCCGCGTGTGTCTTACAATCTCACCAAAACTTTTATGCCTCGGTTACCCTCAAGATTGTTTAGCCCACCTGTCGGGCGATTTGTCGACGTGGCCGGTAATGCATCCTTTAGCTTTTGTGGAGCCATAGGCGAGAGTTGAGTACATGAAAGAGACCAAACAGGAGGAGGATTCCGTCAAAGGGACACGACAGTCTATCCGCTCAGCCTGACCATCGGCTCAAAGAGTGACTGAACACATCTCGAAACAACTTGATTTCGCTGACCCAACTGGACTGTAATAGACAAATCATTGTTTGAAACGGATCAAAGATTGAAAATATGATGATGAAACCCATCCACTCTGTTTTTAGTCGGACATCCTCGTTATATTTTATTTTTTCGCTATTATAGACCGTATTTATAATGATGCGCTTAGTGTTTTTCGATCAACGAACGGTGACGAAATGCGTGCCGCTCGTAACTTTTTTTTTTCGTTCGGTATGAAGNCTGCGAACCTCTATATCGACGATTGCAGAATGTCACAATTTGCAGCTCTAGTTGTGTAGTCTTTATCTTTATCATCGAGTACCAGGATTCTCAGACTGACTTTAGTGTTTGAGTTCTCGTCAGCACAGCACTATGGAGAGGGTGATGTCTTGTAGTATTGATCTAAAACAAGCCGTTAAAGTCAACCCGAGCAGCTCAATTTTATCCTGTAGAACCCACAGTCTGGGCTCATTCATTCATCACAAGTTCGGTGGACATTCATTGCAGAGGATACATAAAAAAGATTACCAGTGCAGGGCGACACGCTGAAGTGACGTAACCAATCATTTTATGATCATATAACCTGTATCCACTTGAATAACGAAACCCTCCTGACTT